GATGCCAAATCTCAAGTTGAATATTCTCAAGTAATTGGAAGTCTAATGTACTTGATGAATTCAACTAGGCCCGACTTAGCTTATGCAGTAAGTAGGCTTAGTAGATATACAAGTAATCTGGCACAAGAGCATTGGGATGCTTTAGTAAGAGTGTTAAGGTATTTGAAAAATACACTTGACTACGGATTACACTACACAAAATATCCACCTGTTGTAGAAGGCTTCAGTGATGCCAATTGGATTTATGACACTACAGAATCCAAGTCGACAAGTGGATATGTTTTTATCTTGGGAGGTGCAGCAATATCTTGGAAATCCTCTAAACAGAAATGTATAGCTCGGTCCACCATGGAATCCGAGTTTATAGCTTTAGACTTGGCTGGCGAAGAAGCCGAGTGGCTCAAAAATTTTCTGGAGGATATTCCAATGTGGCCAAAGCCGGTAACGGCTATATGTATACATTGTGATAGTATGGCCGCTCAATCAAGGGCCAAAAGTCATGTATACAATGGGAAGTCACGTCACATCAAACGTCGACACAATACTCTTAAGAAGATGCTCTCCAATGGAATAATATCCATTGATTATGTGAAGTCAAAGGAAAATATAGCTGATCATTTGACAAAAGGCCTACCAAGAGAGCAAATATTATTTACATCGAGGGGAATGGGTCTTAAGCCAATTCAATGAATTGAACTGGGCGGAAACCTAACCTAACTGATTGGAGATCCCATGGTCTAGGTTCAATAGGCAAACTGGTTGAGTTTGATTCAAAAGTTGAACACACAACTTACCCATTCTTATGATAAAATGTGTGTTGTTTGTTGACGTTTGAGGGGTTATGTTTTATACATTTAATGACATTAATATCTTGTTATCAAGAGGAATATAGCAGACTATTCTTAACTAATGTCACCTATATAGGAGTAAATGAGGCCACATTTATGAGAATTGATATGGCTAAATTCTCTAAAGCTCCTACGAAATCCGGGATCTGTTCAGGGCCAAAATAATTTCCAACACATGTGTCATTCCAACCAGAAACCAAAACAGACGTATGATTAGTGGTGAAAGATTTTTTCGTGATCTCCGCTGACTAGTTAATCAAAGATGCATTAAATTTTGAGGACTAAACCTACATATAAATTAGAATTAGTAACCCCTGTGTTTGTTTATTAATTCATCAGAAAGAGAGAAATAATATAATTAGAAGATGCATGATGCAATCTCCACCGTCCACGAAAATCCGCGTATCCGCTGACCACACTGTATTTTTTATTTTTTATTTTTTAAATACAATGATATCAATATTTTTACACTAAGGAGATGAGGAGTTCGGTTAAACCACACAATGGGCAACCTAATTTGGTATCAAATTCGTCATCCATGAGATTCGAACCTAAGACCTTTCACTTCTAAGTGAATAGGAATACCACTAGATCGTAGTACTGAGTGACCTATCTCATTGTTAGCTGCCAATTTTCCGTTTCTAAGATAAGCTTAACCCTCTCTCCCTAGATAATATCGGTGTTTATTTTTTATTTTTTATTTTTTATTTTTATAAATAAAATTCCAAGTTACCCCAAAGGCCTAAGCTTTTCTGTTGTTGAGAAGACTTATTTACATCAATGTCCCTCGAAACTCAATTATAATCTCACTTTGTTAATTAAAATTCAAAACGTCTCACTTAATCCTCTAAATGTCAATTTTGTGTCTCGCTTTATCTCAATTGAAGACATTTCGTTAGCTTTGTTAAAATAGCTAAAAAATGTGCACATTCATCTTGAAGTGAGGGAACTCAACTATTCACATTAAAGTTGCAAAGGAAGAGCTAAACCAACTCAACTCTCCAAGTTTAGCTTCTTTCATCGGAGATGCTCTTAAACGAAAGTAACCGAAACTCCTATTGTACCAAATAAAAACCTTATCATAAACAAAATGTGCATAGGGGTGTCCAATCTATGGTCTACTTGACGAAAAAGTGCCAATCATATACATATTATAATTTAGTCAGTCCAAAGACCTTCTTATTAGAAGGATCGAGACAATATTTGATTGACGATAAATAATGACATCGACGACGACGACAATGAAAAGGACGACGGGTAGGACGGTATATAGGACGCCCTAGCAATGGATTAGAGTAAACTAATCACAATTACTTCAAGAAAAAGCTTTGAAATCATATTATAATTACACGATCACATCCCCGTAGGAATAGTCGAGAAGAAAAATAATATATTTATTAGCAGGAATCCCTTTCGGATGGACCTAGATTGTCTGCCCTTCCTATCCCATATCCTTCTCATCCCCTCCTATTTTTGTGGTCACGAGGTTAAGCCACGTCAACATTTTATATTCCCATTACTTTTTATCTTATTATTTCTAAAAAAAAAAAAATCAATATAAAATATTGACGTGACTTAACTGTGACCACATAAATAAAAGGAGATGAGAATAGTATGATTATGAGATGGGGAGGGCAGACAATCCAGGTCCCTTTCGGATGCCTTGTTTGTAGGTCTTCGAGAGTCGAGAAGAATCCTAGAGAAAATTTAGTAGGTAAAAGAAGATGACTTGGAAAGTTATTCCCATTCACTGCACTTGAGGCTTGAGACAGGCAAGGTCTAAAATATCGATATTATCCCAATATTTCCATCGAAATTTCCGTGTTTTTGGACTACCGATATTTCTGATATCATCGATATTTTAGACCTTGATAGGAACTCTATGTGGTACTAAAATGTAAAATATTGTACTAATTCATTATATATAAATGATTATGGTGTGTTTAAACTTCTTTCATTAATTACTACATATTTTTTACACTCACAATGTTTGCTAGCTCATTATATAATCAACTTAAATCAGTTAAATCCATCATGCAATGTATTTCCTTCTAAATTTTTGTGATAAACTAATAGATAATTGACTAAATAAACATCCTGCAAAGTTTCAATAAAAATTTTCAAGTTTTTCGTACAATTTCCGTGGTTTTTATTCAATTTTTATCGATATCGATAATATCTTGATATTTCCATCGAAATTTCCGTGTTTTTGTATTCTTATATCATCGATATTTTAGACCTTGGAGACAGGCCACCTAAAGAAGAAACTTTAAAAATCACTACTACTTATGGCTAAGATACGTTTACGTTTCTTTAATAGTTTGTGCCTAACACTAGCAATTAGTTCTATGGTTGAGATGAAAACAACAATTTTGTTTGTTGACGCTCAAAATTAAGAGGTCAACAAAGATGAGTATGGCCAACTCTTTGTGGGATTTGGGATCACGACTTTAAGTAATGGACAACAATATTGAAGTTGTTCAACAAAACTGAATTATGTCCACTGTAGTGATTTGTATTTATATGACATAGGTTACAAGAAACGCTCGGTACTAACAGTGTATCGTTCCGTCCGATGACTATAAGAAGTACTTGCTCCTCTTTAGTCTTTACAGAGGCGGCTAGGCCTTTTGTGAGCCAAAAAGTCTCACAAAGTCTTGGCACATAGTATTCCACTGTTCTCGCATTAGATGGTCAGAACACACAAACCTAACCAACAAATTATTCTTCCACTGTCTAAGTAACACGTGGAAGTGAAGTGACGTTTGCTCCGGAAAAGGATCCTGGGATCATTTTTCTAAGAATCCTGTAATCATATATGTTCATCGTACGTTGAGCGGTCGGAAATTATTAACGACAACTGACCGTACCATGTACGATGAACGAACACGATTGCTCCTAGTTGCGATGTTTCCTAATCGAATACGTGTCGAGCACTTTGCTCATCCCTGAGGTGTCAAGAGAATACCACCCCGAACACTAGGTCTGACAATCTTTATGTCCCTTTTGTAAGCTTCTTTGTTGATAGTCAAACCAGACCATTAAACGGTCAGGCCTCATTCATTTGGTCCTATCGGGCTGGCCTATAAGTTCACTGACTTGATATTTTTTTGTCCTTCTCTTGGATTTTCTCCAGGCCTGTATTATTTTAGGGGTGGAAAAGGAGCCCACATTAATAGTGTACAATTAATCCTTCTATCTTTACCCTATTAATAGCACTAACACGTGTGCAGTGTGTTGATGAAATTGAATCCAAAAGGGTACTTTTACTTTGACCATTACCTATTGATAATATTGTTTTTTTTTTAATATTGAGTATTTAAGGGGTACTTCACATATAAAAAAAAAGAAGAGGAAACAGTCGTTCAAAAAAAAAAAAAAAAGGAAATAATATAATTTTTTATGTCATTTTATTTATTTTATGACACGTAAAGTACTTGTTTGAATAAGGACATGGAAAAAAAATCTCCTATAAAAAGTTTAAAAACTTTAAGGTGTTCTTTCAGACATTGAACATTGTTCTCACCTAATGGTTATTTTTAACACTCAGTTAAACTCACTCTGTTTGTAATCGAGTCAAATTAAGCATCACCGCCACTCATATTCACGTGGAAAATTTGTGATCGGATGGTTGACGTTCTTCCATTTATATGGTAATATGTGAAGAATGCAGAAGGATAATTGACAGATTCATGCACGCATAACGACCTTTGGGATATGGGTTTAAGCAACACTATACCATTTGGACCAATTCCTTAAGAGCTAGTGTTGTGGAGACAGACCTACTGAGTAGACACACGCAGAAAGCATGTTTGACTTGAATATTTTGATCAAACGTGTAGAACGAGTCAAACGAAAGATGGTGTTGAGTAACATCGTCTTTCATGATGCCAGAGCGGATTTTCTATACTCTGAATTTCATGAGATTTGTACACTTTGAATTTCATGAGATTTGTACGTGGATGGTGGGAGAGAAACTTACAGACCATATTGCCATTGTGGGGTTATCCAAGCCAATCACGCAATGTCAAGTACAATCGTATGTTACCTGTTGAAACACACAGTGAAACCACACCTTGAATGATAAGAAAGAACGTCACCGGAGTGGTTTCAAGGTGAAACCACACAGTGAAACAGCTAAAGCGTTGAAACACACAGTGAAACCACACCGCCACCGGCCTTTCATATTACTAACAAATAGCCCGACTGTAGTCTGTATTAATGGATGGAATACAAATTTGAAAATAGACACGAAAAACGTCTATGTGCTGATAAGGATGAGATTTTACAACTTAACGAGCAAAAGTTGCAAAATGAACAGATCAAGAAGAATTGGAAGTAAAAACGTAAAAGAAATAAGCAGCTCAAGCAGTTTGTCCATTTATCTTAAGTATTTCCTGTGAAAAGAAAATCAGAGGTCAGAAGTTAATGAATGCCAAACATAGAAACATGCTGAATATTTTTCTCTGTCTCATCAAATATTCCATACCAGTTTGGTTGCGGCAATTGATTGGCGCTGCCTTTCTTTCTTCTCACGTTTGCACTCGCCACACCAGTTGGAAAAGTCTTTCTGATATTTCTTCAGCTCCCTAAAGACCGAACTACAAGAAGATTGGGGATCCAAAGTAAGTAATTTGGTAAACAAGAAAGCATAATTGAGATAATCCTTGCAGTAAAACCCTATGTTTGACAGTTTTACTGTAAGTATACCTAGAAAAGCTTCTGCAAAACTGTTTGTAAGTAAACTAACCGGCACACAGGCAAAAAATCCTAGTACTTAACGAGACCAGGATCCAAAGGTTACTTAGCCTTAAATAAATTCTATCAATTTCTTAGATGGCACATTTTGGTAATGTATGTTTACAAGGCCATTCAGTGTGTTTTGCAATGTGCACAATCAATTGAGAAAACAATAGAGGACATAGCGTTTAGGAGAAACCAACTGTGTGAAACCCGGATATTCCAACATTTCACTGAACTCTACTTTAAGACCAGTTAGGGAGATTGTGTAGTAACCCGAAAGTTAGGGAGATTGTGAATCCTTGAAATCCTTAGGTTAGGTTTCTTTAAATTCTTTTAGGGGGGGGGGGGGGGGGGGGGGGGGGGGATTAAATATGGAGAATGGTACCTTCTGCACCATAATAATAAGTTGACTCGACGCCCTGATGTCGTGGCTCTAGCACCATGTCGATGGCGACCATGATGAAGAATGGCATGTCCCGGGACATGAGGATAATCAAAGATTTCCTATTAAGTAAAATTAAGTTCAATACTTATATGGTAAAATGTAAGAAAATAAAAGATTTATTACAACTAAGAAAACATAAGAAAAAAAATAAAACATAAGAAAAAAAATATACATGCAACTTACTATTTATCATAAATTAGAAATGATATCCAATATGATACCCCAAAGTCTTTATATGACCCTACATAAAAAATTGTACCAAAAATTGATCATAAAGAATAGCACACCTCAGATTGTGTCTCTGAATTAACATGTTTATCACATCGAACACCTCGAAAGAACAAATCTCCACCTGAAAATTGCTTTCCCAAGCAAACATTCAAGGTGACTTCTGAATCATCCACATGAAAACCTGCAATATAAAGCTGTTGTGGATTCATAAAAGCTTAACAAGCTATAAATCTAGCACAGGGGTTTGAGATGAAGACACGCATACAGTATTGAACAATTGGACACAATTATGAAAACATAAGGAGAAATAATGCCATATCAGCTAAACCAACAATCAAAACTGTTCCTAGGAAATAATGATAATCAGTAGAAATAACTCAAAAATGCAATAGAGTACATTATCGTCCAGTCAGATACTAAAGCCTCAGTATTACTCTGCAGTCTACAGCATAACTCCCTTCACTAAGAAAATATAAAGAGTGGAAATGGCAGAGAGAGAGAAAGAGAGGCTTAAGTACAAATGTTTCTATCGAAAAACTAAATCTAAAACCTTTAGATGGATGAGCACCTACCAAGCTCTACATCCCTATCGATTCCATATTCAACAACAAAACCGTGATGAGTATCCAGTGTGGATCCACCAACTTCCGGGAAGAAAACTGCATCAACAAAAAAAAGTATAACCTTATTTCTAATCTTTCACATATAAGAACTTTTTCCAATTACAATTTCACAATACTAGAGATGAAATACCTTTGGACATAGGACGTATAAAGTCCTCCATCAACTTGTCAAGCATGGTTTCCAGGCCAAAGTCATCAAGAACACAACCGTATTTATTCATTGTATTTGGTCGCATGACTCTGAAATTTGTCTCATGGACCCACCCTTGAAAATTTTCCACCTAAGCAATCAGAATTTGATAAGAAAATAGAAAAGGTAACATAAAGGAAAATTAACTTTTATTCAAAATGATACCTCAGTTACTAACAAGTCACAGAAATCCGGCTGAAGCATTTCAAATGTATAAACTCCAGGAGAGGGTTCAGACAGTATACTTCTAAAGCTATCCTCTGTGTTCTCACTGATTGCTCTGAGAAATGAGGGGACAAAGAACTTTTCAGCTTGCAGAGTGTACAACTCCCTTTGTAGAGGCTGCAATGAGACCGATTAAGAAGGAAATTACTTAAGTTTGTTGACATGCAATCATGACTAAATGTCTTATGCAGAAAACTCGAGCCCCCAATTCCAGTAGTACCAAAAGAAGGGGCTTAACTTTAATGACTGCAACACTTGACCGTGATCCATAAATGTGTTGTTTACATATTACAGAAAGTTTTGAAATGTTAACTGCATATTAGCCATCAAACGCACCTGATAGTGTGTGATGATCTTCTGCCTGTATTCTCGATGTCGTTGAACCTGTTTATTCAAACAGAAAAAAACATATGACCCACTCAGGAATGCAGTGACGCCGGATTGACTAATTAACCAAAGCACATTGCCCCTGCCTGTTCTGACTATACGTTATTTCTACTCAAGCTTATCTCCCTTGACTAGGCACATAAACTAAATCCGCATCAATAATCAAATTTTAACACAGGAATTGTATATCCGCATCAATCATTTCCGGAGAATTCAAAGAAATTACACATTCTACCGCAATCGCAACTGGAGCAAACTCATTTCACACCTTCATCCAAATATTCAAATTCACATAACAAGAAATTCCGAAACTTCCAATAATCAAATTCATTTTCAGTTTCATGCATGCACCAAACTTGAGGGAGAGAGTTATCATGTCTTACACGAGTGCGTTCGCTCTCGGGTGAGTACCGGAGGAGAATGTCCCTCATGTACTGGAGCTTGAGGTCACGTGAGGCATTGAGCATGGTGGGTGGCAAGTAGCGCTCCAGCGAGCTGAAGAGCAAGGGACTGAACTCCAACTGCTCCAGGTCCTCGTAGCTCTCCGCCTTGTGATCCTTGTTCGGCATCAGTCTCAGTCTGTTCGACAAGCTCATCACGCAGTTTCCGTTGTTGCCTGCGCTCAGCGTTTGCGGCGGTGGCCTCCGTCGGTCCGCCGCGCCGTCCGTAGCCATAGTCTTCGACTCTTCGTGAGATAGATTGGGGATTTTAAGAGAGAGATGGTGACTGAATTGGCGGAATTTTGTTAGGGTTTTGAAGAATTGAAAAATGCAGAAGAAGTTTGAGCTGCAGGTTAGGGCTTGGGGTTCCCTGTGGCGTGGTTAGTTGGTTAAACACTACAGTGGACGCGCGAGCAGAATCTGGACGTGGGTCCACAGAGATGACGTGGGGTGGTTTTTATTTGGGAAGTTTAACGAAAAATTTCTGGTACTGTTCATTTTAACAAAAAATTACATTTTTATACTAAAAAGTCAATCATGGTACTTTTTCACTTTACCATTTAAGACTCAAAATTTTTAAACCATTTTTATTAGTTTTCATTTTTTATTTTAGTTGTGGGGACACTCTGACGTGGAGTGTTGGAAACTTATCCACAAATTTTCAAGTAGTGCATTTACTTCTTTTGGAGGTGGAGTATCTGCCCTCCAATTTCTATACTCTCTCTATTCTCAATTGTTTTTTGTGATCACGGTTAAGTTATGTCAACATTTTATATTCTTATTATTTTTATAAAAAAATAATATAAAATGTTGACGTGACTTAACCATGACCACACAAACAAGAGAGGATGTGAAGAGTATGAAAATAGGAGGCCAGACAATCCACCTCCACTTCTTTTTCCCACCTTCTTTTTTCCATAACAATTCATCGAGCTTTTTTTTTTTTTTGAAAATATTAATTGCAATTTTATTCGAACCTGATGTAATTAATAACTTACGAACAATTTTTAATACGAATCTGTTGTAATTAAACCGGCTATCATTACAATTTTACTTGAATCCGAAGCATTTCTTTCAACAACAATTCATTTCGCAGTTTTATTTTTGAAAATGGTAATTAAAATCTTATCAGAATTAACTGAATCTAGTGTAATTAATAGAATACGAACAACTTTCTAAACGAATCCGTTGTAATTAAACCGGCTATCATTACAATCCTATTCAAATCCGATGCATTTTTTCAACAATTCATTATGCACTTTTGTTTTTGAAAATGGTAATTACAATCTTATCCGAATGGACCGAATCTGGTGTAGTTAATGGGATACGAACAACTTTCTATACGAATTCATTGTAATTGAATCAGCTATCATTACAATCCTATTTGAATCCGATGCAATGTTGACTTACTTTCTAATTATTTAGACGGGGGATAGCCGCATTAGCTAAAGAAAATGTGTCTTAATATGCACTCAAAATTTGAATCTTTCTTTTGTATAATTTAATTAGTATGAATTAAGGCATTGTTTGTATTAAAAAATGAACCGTTGAGGTTTTTTTTTTTTTTTTTTACACGAGAAATACTATATCAAATTAATCTAAATCACAAAAAAAAAAAAAAAAAAAAATCAAACTTGAATTCATTAAGAGAAGCACACTGCTCCAACCAGGTAAGTGGACTGTTGATCTTGTTTTGGCAACATATACTTGGCACACCATTCTCCCAGATGAAGCAAATAGATAGAAGAAAAACATTGAAGAAACATGAGGCTGATTGTTTTCCCCTACATTTTATTTCAAAAAGACAAAATGGATGTATACCCTTCCCCTCCCTACCTTGGTATGTAAAAATGTACACCCAAAAACCCTGGTTTTTCCCACTAAATCTTACCTCTTGACTACTGTTGACCAAAAACGAAAAGACCAAAAGGCTAGAAAAACAACACTCATTGAGCTGAAGTTTTGTTACTTCCCGCATAGCCATAAGCCTGCAAGCTCATCTCCTGGATTCCATAAGCCGCGTTCCATTTATAGAAACTGAATATCTTTCTTTCATTCAATACAATCAGATAATTACACAAAGTTTGATATATATATTGTGGGCATTCTAACAGATTACACTTATGCCCTTAACCAAACTAACAATTTACAAAACAACTAAAACAAACTATAAGCAATTCTTATCAACACTTTGATGACTCTTTACACCCCCTCAAGCTGAACTTGGAAGCATCAAAAGAACCAAGAGAAAGCTTGGATTGAAGATAGAGGAATCTTTGCCGAGACAGAGACTTAGTATGAATGTCGGCCAATTGGTCTTGACTACAAACATATTGGACCTTGATAAGATGAGCAAGAACCAGCTCACGGATGTAATGATAGTCAATTTCAACGTGTTTAGTCCGGGCATGAAAAACAGGATTAGAAGCTAAAGATATTGCAGAGATATTATCACACCAGAGATGAGGAATCTGAGGTAGTTGAAAACCAATATCTCGGAAAATTTTACAGATCCATGTTATTTCAGCCGAAGTGTGAGCCAAAGACCTGTACTCAGCTTCAGTAGAGGATCGGGCAACCGTTGGCTGTTTCTTGGCACTCCAACTAATCAAATTAGAACCAAGGAAGATGCAATAGCCACTGGTGGACCTTCTGTCAAATGTGCACCCTGCCCAATCAGCATCAGAGTATGCTGTAAGGTGCAGATTTCCGGGTTTGAACCATAAGCCATGGGTGAGAGTACCTTTTAAAAATCTGAGAATTCTTTTAGCAGCTTGAAGATGGGAATCCCTCGGAGCATGCATGAATTGACATACTTGATTCACAGCAAAAGATATATCTGGCCGAGTCCATGTAAGATATTGCAAGGCACCAACTAAGGATCGATACTCTGTGGGATTAGACAAGAGAGAACCGGTATGATCAAGTTTGGCCGTGCCTAAGGGAGTGGAACATGGTTTAGCTCCATCCATTTTAGTCTTCTGAAGAAGGTCAAGTAAATATTTTCCTTGGTGTAAGAATATGCCTTCAGAAGACTTGTGCACCTCAAGTCCCAAAAAATAATGCAATGAGCCTAGATCTTTGACAGGAAAAACAGTGCTCAGTTTGTTGATAAAATGCTGACAGAGTGTAGCATTAGGACCAGTTACCAAAATGTCATCAACATATACAAGGATGATCACCAAGGTTGGAGCTCGTAAGACAAACAAAGAGGCATCAGAAGAAGACTGCTGAAAACCAAAAGATCTCAACACCTGAAATAATTTGTCAAACCAAGCCCTTGGAGCCTGTTTAAGACCATAAAGGGACTTTTTAAGCTTGCAGACATGATGTGGAAAAGAGGGATCAGTAAAGCCATGAGGCTGCTGCATAAAAACATCTTCTTGTAAATCCCCATGCAAGAAGGCATTACTAATGTCTAACTGATTTAAAAACCAGTGAAACTGAGCAGCAAAAGACAACAGGATACGAATGGTAACAGGCTTGGCTACAGGACTGAAAGTTTCTTTATAATCGATGCCTGCTTGTTGGTGAAAGCCTTTGGCAACAAGGCGAGCCTTGTAGCGATCAATAGAACCATCAGGATGTTTCTTAATCCGAAAGACCCATTTACAACCAACAACATTGTGAAGAGGAGAAGAGGGTACAAGAACCCATGTCCCTGTAGATTGCAATGCATTAAACTCCTCTTACATAGCAGTTCTCCAGTGAGCATGCTTGGAAGCTTGCAAATAAGTAGATGGGACAAAATCAAGAGAAGATGGAAGAGGATGCTTGGTTGCCGAGAAGGCCTTGGGTTTGAATATCCCTGCTTTTGACCGAGTAAGCATAGGATGAGTATTGTGCACAGTAGAAGAGACAGAAGGAACCGAGATGGGAAGACCAATGGAATCAACAGTAGGATCATGTGAGTCAATAGGGGCAGCAAGTAGATCATGTGAAGTAACAGAATCAACATGTGAAGCAACATAATCAGCATGTGAAGCAACAGGAGCAGCATGTGAGTCAATAGGGGCAGTATGAGCAGTGGGGGCAGTAGGAGCATGTGAGGCAATAGGGGCAGTAGGTGGGACAGTAAGGGAGGCACTAGTAGTGCAGGATCGGGAAGAATGAGGGACAGTGAACTGCAAGTCAACTGAAGACACAACTGGAGATGCAGTATTAAATCGGGAAGCACTCGGGGACAATGGGTGAGAGTGATGAAATGGGAATGTAGATTCATCAAAAATAACATGACGAGATATATAGACCCTCTGTGTCAATGGATCCAAGCACCGATATCCCTTATGTTGAAGACTGTACCCCAAGAACACGCAATACTTACTTTTGCTGTCCAGTTTGGAAGTTGTATAAGGCTTAAGCCATGGAAAACAGCTGCAACCAAAGACCTTCAGCCGACAATAATCAGGGAAAGTATGAAATAATAATTCCCATGGAGACTGCATCATGCCAGAAATTGGAAGTCGATTAATCAAGTATATAGCAGTGGAAAAGGCCTCTACCCAGAAAACATGAGGCACATTAGAAGCAACCAAAAGTGTGCGAGCAGTCTCGACCAGATGACGATGTTTTCTTTCTGCACAACCATTCTGTTCAGGTGTATGTGGACAACTGAATTGATGTATAATACCATGAGTTTTGAAAAAATTCTGTAGTGCAGTGCTAGTAAATTCACCCCCTGAATCTGAACGAAACACTTTGATTTTATTGCCAAGAAGGTTTTCTACATAACTCTTGAACTGAACCAATACAGAATACACTGCAGATTTGGATTGTAAAGGAAAGAACCAACTATATTTACTATAGTCATCTACAATCAACAGATAGTATCTAGATCCACTCACTGACATAACAGGAGCTGGACCCCAGAGATCACAATGTAAAAGTTCTAAACAAGAAGAAGAAGTAGAACTAACAGAACTGAACGGCTGCTTGTGACTTTTTGCAAGAGCACAGTGAGAACAAAAGAAATCCACTGAAGCCTTTCCTGTGAGAGCAAGCTTATTTGTTGAGAGAACACGCCTGAATATTGATGAAGACGGATGACCAAGTCGACTGTGCCAAACTGAAATCGATGCTTTGACACTTATTAAGGCAGTAGGTGAAGTAGCAGAACGATGAGATGACTGAGATGACTGAGATGTACATTGCAGGGGATAAAAACCATCTTTAACCGGTCCCCGCAAAAGCGTCTTCCCCGTAGAACGATCCTTTACAAAGGATCCATCAGAATTAAGAGTCAAAGAACAGTAATTATCTTTGAGAAATTGATATGCAGATAGTAAATTGTGCTGCATTTATGGTACATGAAGAACATGTTGCAGTTTAAATGTAGCAGAGGGAGTATGTAAAAACGAAGAACCAACGTTGGTAATTGTCAAACCTTTACCATCACCAATGTAGACCTTGTCTTCACCACGGTAAGGAGTAGGAGAAGAAATGTTAGAGATGTCATTTGTAATGTGAGAAGTTGCACCCGAATCAATAAGCCAAGAAGGAGTGGGCTTTGATGAAAAGTGTGCACACATAGCAGCAAGTTTAGCAGGAGGAACTTTGCCAAATATATCAGGGTTCATTCGATCAAAACAGTCAATAGCCTCATGACTGTTTGATCCACATATTTGACACTGGATACCACGAGAGCCTTGAGAGTTGCCACGAAAGCCTTGATAATTGCCACGAAAATTGGTACCTTTATAATTGCCACGATGTCCACGAGCATTGCCTCTATAGTTTCCACGATGACTGCCACGGTAATTGTCGCGAGAAGACTGAGGTTGAACAGCAAAAGCTTGGTGCGGTGGCGGTGTAGGCAAAAGAGGAGGCAGCGAGTGAGCAGCAAAGGCATGGAAAGGCTCTGTGGTGTTAGAGGAAGCAGCTTTCTTCCTTCTAGTCATTGATAATTCCTTGGTGAGCAGTAAGCCATGCAATTCATCCAGAGTTGTATGGGAAAGACGAAGAAGAAGGGAATCAGTAAAAGATTCAAACTCATCAGGTAAGCCAGCCAGTGTAGCCGCAATTAGGTCACGATCTGTGACAGGAGCACCAGCCGCCATCAAGGCATCAGAGATTTCCTTGATTTGTTGAAGATAATCAGAAATTGACTGTGAACCTTTCTGAATGGATTGGAGACGAGATCGTAACTGATGAATGTGAGCATCAGAGACTACTCCAAAGCGCTGCTCAAGCTTGATCCATAGATCCCGAGACGACGAGACACCAACAGTGAAAGGAATCACTTCTTCAGACAGAGTAGAATTCAACCAGATGAGAAGGTTCTGATCTTTCTCATTCCAAATGTCAAAGTCGGGATTGATAGAGCGATCAGAAAGAAGAGGTGATGGACAGACCTCAGTACCATCAATGATGCCAAGGAGCTTATACCGGCGCAGAATTGGAGCAAATAAAGCACGCCAGGGGAGATAATTGGAGCGTTTGAGTTTAATTGGCACCATACTTCCAATGTTTTGGATCGTCAGAGAAGCATATGAAGACGAAGACATGGCATAATTTGACGAATTAGGGTTTGGAGCTTGCACCGACTCAAGAGGAGAAGACGAATTTGACGGAGTCGCCATGGCTGATTGCAGCGAGAAAGACACCAAACAACAAGATCGAAGCGACAATCGAAGAAGAACAATGAAGAATCACAGCAAAATTCAGAGAGAAAGATCAGAAATTAGGAGCGAAAGCGAAGAGGATCGAGAGAGAGAAGGCCGTGAGGCGAGACGGTCGTGATACCATATAGAAACTGAATATCTTTCTTTCATTCAATACAATCAGATAATTACACAAAGTTTGATATATATATTGTGGGCATTCTAACAGATTACACTTATGCCCTTAACCAAACTAACAATTTACAAAACAACTAAAACAAACTATAAGCAATTCTTATCAACACTTTGATGACTCTTTACCATTCGCCTGTTGCGCTGCTGGCTCTGGGATAAGTTGTTGGCTTTGATCAAATTGTTGATGACGGGTAACTTGACAATGAGGTGAACCTGCATGCTGTACTACGATGGCTGCTGTATCTGAATGCTGGAGCAATGATGTCATTTCCTGCTGCTGCTCCGTATTCTGTTGTGGCAGCTGGACTGGTGATCTCATTTCCGGTTGCATCTGCTGCTGGACTGGTGATCCCACTTCCTGTTGATGCATCTGCGGTTGTAGCTGCTGCCCAACTGGTGATCCCAGTCCCGGTTGATACATCTGCGGTTGTATCTGCTGCTGGACTGATGATTCCAGTTCTGGTGGATGCATCTGTGGCGGTATCTTTTGCTCAACCAGTGATCTAATTTCCGGTTGTATCCTCTGTTCAAACAGTGATCTCATTTCCAGTGGATGCATCTGCAATTGTAGCAGCTGCTGGTTGCTTAATTTAGTAGTCACGCCTCGAGAATTTGTTATGTCCACCGAAACCCCATTCATCAAGGCTTTCCCTTGGCCTTCTGTGGCCCTCAGAAGATCAGAAACCGGGCCAAGAGGTAGCTTGCTGTCATTTAAACTAGATACTTCACTGCCAAGATTGTTAAACAGGCCTACATTGCCAACCCAAGGCATCCGTCCTCCCAATTCCGTAGGAGGAGTAGAGGACCTCAAGCCCATGCCATTACCCAACAAACCAAGACGAGAATTTCCAAGTCCCTGGACTCCACCCCGTTCAATCATACCTAAACCACTTGCACTTACTCCTCCACCTCCTGATCCCCCCTGCATGAATTGATTTCGTTGTTGTTGTTGTTGTTGTATTTGCAGCGTCTGATACATTGAATAGGCACAATTATTCAGAATCTGCCGGACTTGCGGCATCATGCAATTTTCTTGTGTAGCAATGCTGAGAGCTTGCTTGGGTATACAAGTGTCCGGGAGTTGTGCAGCTAACTGTATGATTTCAGGTGGGAGAAATTGGCCTCCAGAGAAAATGTTCTGTGAATGGCGTTGCATGGATATGGGACTGAGTCCGGAAGGTGATAACCTTGGGGTCAGAGTTGAGGAAGGTTGGGCGATTGGTCGAGCTGATGGAGTGGCACTAATACTAGCACTATGCCACTGAATGCTGAAGCCCCCGTCAGCCTTGGGAGAAATCGGCCCTACATGATAACTAGCTAGGTAGTACCCTTCATGCTTCATCTGTCCAAAAGAATGACGAAAGAGTAAATAACGAAGTATTATTTTATGTTCTGAGAAACAAACCTAATCCATGAAAAATCCGCAACAGATACAAACATACCAGTGTGGTGAACTGAGTAGCCAAGAGGTATGCAGAATGCTGCCAAGAACAATACATGAAATCAGATGCTTTCTTCATCAAATCAACCCAGCAACACGATTCTAAGATATAAACTGGCTTCCGTTTCTTATTCTATACAGTTTGCTAACGGAGGCTGGATAGATTTTAATCTCGTAAAATTATAGTCACAAAATAGACCAACTGTTGGTTCGAAAAAGAAAATTGGAATAAGGAATTATGGGAACGCGCAAATAAAATCATGGGACCGCAATTCGGAAGTAGTTGACAAAAGATATAAGTGCTCATTAGTTACTTGAAATATCAAGGAAATATCTGTAAACCATGAGCTTTGCTATGTAAAATAGACCACAGGGTAACAAACTCAAAACAGATGTCAGGGGATTGATAATCGAAAGATTTATTGCATTCCAAAAGGAACGTCGCAATCATATATCAGAAGAGGAGACTCTGAATAATCACAAATGGAAACTCACAGTGCTAGTAGAAGCCGGTAGAAGAGGATAATCAATTGAAAACATCTCTTTTTCGGTTCCATAAGCAACACTTGCTTTCATCATTCCCTCATTCAGCTTCTCTGATATGATCAGTCTGACCTGAGCCTCTCTATCAACGATGGGAGTCTCATTTTCTAGGATTGCATAGAATTACTCAAAATGAGAAGAAAGGTAGCGATAAGGGTTGAAAATTACATACATGTATATATATAACATGCATGGAAGACAAACATAATCAGTTCTTTACCTTGATGGATGTGAGATTGACGTAGAAAAGTCAATGTCCGAGTTTCATAAATACCGATACCCCTGTCCAGAAAGCATTCTTTGAGAGAAATTTTATCTGCGGAAGTATTCTCCCACTTTTTGTTATCTCCTGAAGATAAGAGTTGGTAAGAAACCAATGGAGTTACGGAAGAAAAGGGTTTCCTTCGCAAAAATGGGTCCAATTTGTACTCCCTGTTATGTAGTCCATACCTGATGCATTACAAAGCATTACACATCATAACAAGCAAGACTGCAGAAACAGAACTATTTGCAGTATAACTGGCATGACTTTAACTATGATACTACCTCTCAGTCACTGCTTGAATCTTCAAAAAGCTCTCAGGGAAAGATCCAGCTTTAGGTCTTGATGGCCGAGATGAAGTAAGATTCATGGAAACATGGTTTGCATCAGCAGCATTGGTATTGCCCATGCTAGCACTAGAATCATCAGTCTTTTTTCTGGAGCGTTTAGGACGAGGATCTGTTTTCTGCTTTGGAGGAACAACTACCTCTGATGGCAGAAAGGTTATGTTTGGAGAACTTGCAGACGCACAATTCTCAGGAGCTGCAACCTGGAATATATCTGAACCCGTCCTCAATTGAGAGACACTTCTGTGCATCCTCATATTAGTAGATACATTATCTCTTAATTGAGATGATGATTGTTGCTTTTGTGATTGCTGGAGATAAGACTGAACAGGTATCCTGTCCATCACACGGTGCTCATTTTTGGTCTTCCTAAAATTTGAACTGGGGAAACTATCTTTTTCAGGCTCTAACTTAACATTAGAAGTGTCGAAAGCAGCCTGCAGCTCTGAGATTCCTTGAAAACTTCTTGTCTGACCATTATTTATTATCGCCAAGGGACGCTCTTTCTCCTGGATTCTTTCATGTATAACTTTTCCACCCTCACTGGGTTGATGCAACAATTTTTTCTTCCACTGTAGATAAGGTAGAAGACTGGTTTCAGCTTGGCTTCCAGTAAGCTGCTGATAAGATAAGTCCACGGGCTCTGGCTTGGGTTTCTTTAGCATTGGTGCTTGAACTGCTTGTGTTTCACATCTGACTCTCTTATCAAGAGCCGATGAACCAGGCATTCCCAAACCATTATTTGAGTAGTTAAGACTTGGTTTGGGTAAAGCGGCAAAATCAGACACTGCAACCATCGGTAAAGAAGCCTGGCTACAACTATATGCAGCTTTAGATGTAGGCTGTGATGTCAACAGATTGGAAAGTGAGTTCCCCAATTCTCTTGAAGAAGGTTGTTTTCTTGTGGATAATGAGTTCTCTCGTACAACATTGTGCTCCGAAAATGTAATGCCTCTTTCTTGATACGATAAACCAGCTAGAGAGCTGCAACTCTGAGTAGCACAATTAACGGTAATGTCAGCTACATGATGAGAGTTGTTGAAATCTATGTCGGTGTCTGATGCATTACTCAGCTTTCGCCTTTTCCAGCTCCACATAATTCCAAGATTGATCTGCTAAAAAATGGAAAAGTTAGGTAATATGCTTCACGCATTTGGAACTTTGGCAGGCGTTACACGAATTCTATCACTTCCAGTACCTTCTTTCTTAAGGATTCTCCAGAGTATATGTCCTGCAATGGCTGTGGATTTAGATGAAGAGCAGGTTGCAGAGCCTTGACAATTTGGGACTCAACTTCCTGAACAAGAACAAGGAAATGAACATGAGAACGAGGCAATAAGCTTGAGCGGAAAGCCGAGGAGCATACAGATGCTCACTACAAAAGTCTACCAACCAAAAAGTCTCTGTAGGTCCAAGAATTATTGGAGATTGACAAGATGTCTTTGACAACATTTTCCGTGCGCATATGCAAGAGAACCTTGTGAACACTTGGAACTTTATTTGTAGGAACAGTCGCTCTTTCTTGGATCAAACAACTGCGGTAATCTTGAATCTGCGAAGGAAACATCTTTCAAGAAGACAAAACTACCATACCTAATGCCAATGACCAAATAAACACTAAAACAAAGACATCACCTCACAAAGGATGGCTCCATTGACATATTTGCAAGGTAAGGCATCAAAAACATCTCCAGGTAACCAACCACACTCAATCGCCTGATAAACACGACAAATATAGAAAACCAAATTATGAGTGTTAAATATACAGTAAAGAACCTGCATCTTGCATTAAAATATTAACGAATCGCTTTAAGGTTGAACAATATTCCGAAGATTTTATCTAAAAATAAAAGAAAAGAAGATATCAAAGTTCCATGACCTTTCATTCCAGCATTTGATGTTCAATAACAACTAAACAAACCCCAATATGTAGGAACATTTTTTTCAATAGCTCTATCCAATATTCCCCTAAAAATCTGTGATGTTTGCGGGTTTTAGGAAAAGAGGTAAACTGTTTATCTGGCGATAAAATGCGTATGGAAACTGACCTTCCTATCTTAAAATTTTAACCGGGTTTTAGGAACTCAAACAATTAACAAGCATAAAATGCAGCACAAGCAGCGTAAGTAGAAGCAATCGACCATGAGTGTCGTTGTGAAAAGCCACTGGCTATGACCCGTTAAGATCTAAGTACAACAACAAGATAGCAAGACTCGGTATAGCGAGGCAGCACTATATTTATAGATTGGAAAGAAGGGAGTCTCCAAAGAGAGGCCCGAGCGGAATGGAATAGCGGACCGTGGAACTGAGTTCGCATGTGCAAGCAAAACAGTCATCTTGGCCTCAACAATCTAGTTAAAACTGAGGAGGAAAGGGAACCACTTAGCTATCTATTAATAACTTGTAGCCTATCTAACAAAAAGTTAAGTCACTGCCAAGACATTCTGGTGAATCACACCGCGCAAATAATGAATCACAGACTTACCGTAAAAAGTTTCTCTGATGCTCTATCATATGGATGCAAGTGCTCTGGTACGCCATTGAGCAGCTACAAAAGCATTAAGGTGTGCGTTAATGGCCGGTGGAAAGATTACAAATGATACAATAGTTTAACAAATGCAAGCAACTTCTGTAAGAATCTATCGTCATGATTTCTGACCTCGTTAGCTTTTCCCACGTTAAATCCATTCTCAAACAACTTCAGTGAAAAGGATACCTCAAAGTCTGCACGAAAAATCGACTCTCAACAAGAAAAAATTCTCAGCAGATCATAAGCTTACAAGATCAAAGTGGTGCGTTACCCTCTGAAAGATTGACTAATACACTTGAAGGATCAGCAGCAGCAACCTTAGCTCCCATCCCAGTACAATTAACCTTCACAAAACCATTGGAAGATTTAATAATTTAAAACCCTTACAGGCACTTGAAAATGTGTTTCAACTAAACATCCAACTTGTTAACTAAATTATGTTTTAAAACGTCCATTTTATATAACAAAAGACAACAATTAAAGGCGAAATTTTTCATCCAAGCTCCCAAGTTCGATTCTCCTCTCCCAACATCGCTTGTATAAAAAAGGGCAATCTTTCGATAAAACAAAAAAAAAGCGAAAGATGGGGGAAAAATAAAAACACATAAACAAGTGAAAGTTCACTCCCCACTGAATTAATCAACCTTCAACCATGCAAACAACGAATCACAATTACAGGCAAGGAAAAAAAAAAACAGGTGGTGCTATCCAAACACTCGTTTTTACCTTCCATGTGTGAGAGGTAAAAATGGATATGTGGATAGCACCACCCGAAAAGAAACCCATCAACCAAAACCACAGAAATGTCATAAAAACCAGAAACCCCAAAATCCAACCGAGACAATAAAACAACAATACAACAAACAACAACCGATCAATCAAAATAATACTATGAAGCAGGTTGAATAAAAGGTTGGCTGGTGAAAAAACTCGAACTCATAACATCTACAAGACCTCGTTCTCTCGCTGCTGAGGGTCAGAACCCGAATCGTTTTCACTGCTGTCTTTCTCCTCAGTCGGAAGCAGCTTCGGTCTGTACCTCGTACCCGTCTTTGCAACCTGGAACGACACACCCATGTCTCCCTCACTTCACTCAGAATTTCCTCCACCACCTTTTGGTTACACAGAAAACGATGAAATGGGTTTGAGAGGGACGGCGGGAATGTGCCCTAGTTGTATCGGAAACTGCCCGTTTCGCTCTGGTTCTCGGAGGGTCACGATTCATAGGTTGATAACTTAGCCATGAACAGAAACACGTAGTATATATACAGCTCCAAATCCAATATAGTATTATATGGAAACTTGATAAATTTACAGCTTATGCTGTGATGGCGTTATACAATTTTGTTTTATCTTTATATTGCATCGGTGGATGTGGGGGCTCTTGAATTCAATTCACTTTTTGGATTTTTTTCCGGGAGTTCTGTGTAAAGGCA